TGCACCATGAATCCTGGAAGACTAGAATAGATACATACACTTGCCCTGAAGTCTTATACTCCAGGCTTACAATGGAGTTTGCATTCACCTACACATTAATGACAAACTCTGGGTTAGTATAGGAGAAGCCAGCAAATTCATTTTGGTCCAAGTTCATGATGAAGAGTTTATCAGTAGGCGTGAGTTCCACAGGCTGTCTGGTGAACTCTTTGTCGAAATTGGAGGCGTCTCGCTTGTCTCTCTGCCAAACGGAAAGCAAACACATTAACACAGCATAAGAAGAAGGAAACGTGACCAAGACGTGCCAGTTATTGGGAAGCTGATGACGTCTCATGGGCAGAGTCAGGAGGAGCCCTGTGCTGACAGGGTTTAGCAGCGGCATTGCAATACTATCCCCTAGCTTTCACATTGTATGTTGGCTTCAGGAGAGAAAACTTGGTGGAAATTTTCTAAGAAAGGAAATGAGACCTTGACTTTCTTTAAGGATTGCCAGAAAGTGAGGTGTGTGTGTGTGTGTGTGTGTGTGTGTGTGTGTGTGTTGTTTTCCTTGGCTTTGAGATGAATTGAGTTGGAAACTTCCTCTGACCAGGTATGATGTCATAGAATTAGTCATGCAGTAGAGAGTCCAGGAGGACATGATCCAAGAGCGCCCCCTGTGGCTAGGAGGCTTCTTTCTTTAAAGAGGAGCAGAGCCACATGACCACTCAGCTCCCCAGAAGGCAGAGTGGCAAAATGGGGACATCAGATCACTGCTCAATGAAAGGAACAGATCACTATCCACCCCACATTCCCTGATGCGATCTAGGCTTTGAAGGGATGCTCAGAAATCCACCCACAGACTAGAATTTGGGTCTTCAACAGCCAGAGTTTCTTCCAAGGATGTTTACAGCAATGGATCTAGTCAACAAACTCCTAGTCTGGAAGGGCAGCTTTAAAACATTCTATTCTCCTAGTTAGTCTGGCATTTTCTTTTTTTTTTGGGGGGGGGGGTGGGCATCAATCCCAGTTTACTAACTGCAGTTTGGGGCAAGTTTCACCAGGGAATGTCAGAGCGTGGGTTCATAACAAGAGCCCACATCTGGGTGATGCTCTCACCTCTCCAGGGTCCCTATCAGCCTATGATCTTCCCATCCTTACCACCCACCTAGGGGCAGGCAGAGGTCCTCGCCCCTGGTGCTTTGACATATGAGAAAACTGAGGCACAGGAAAGTAAAGTGACTTGCCCAAGCTTGCACAGTGGGGTAGTGATTTTTACCCAACCACATCGCACCTAATTCTGCTTCATCTCAGCCTCTCTGTCTGGGGGGAAAGCTTGATGGCTGGTTTATTGCAGGACAACCAAGGATAACGTATGGGTTTCACAGGTACCGGGCAGGTTACCTGGCTGAAGCCAGAGTGGTGTCAGATTGTAAAGAGGGGAGGGTCGGTGAGGACTGACTGATTTGCTAGAATTTGGTCAATGGCCATCCATGCTTTAGGTTTAACCCCTAAAGGGTACTGACTGACAAGGATTTCTCATTACTGGATTCATTTCCCTTTGCAAAATACTTCTCGCAAGAATGCCTTCTTTTTGGTTGCTCCCCTGAGACAGGTAAAATGTCCCTAAGAAGTGCCCCAATTACTCTTCTGGTGTATGTGTAGGGGTGTAGGGGTGAGGGGGACATGAAGAAGGCACTTCAGTAAGTGTGGCCAGAGGGGAGCGGGCTGAAGATACCGGCAGAGCTGTTTTCTGGACAGTGGACCGTCTCTTACCATGCCCCACCTATTCTGCTTTGTCTGGTCCTGCCTGCTGTCAGCCTGTCTTGTGTTGTCCCAGGCACTGAATGTGTTATTTGCTGTGTTCAGAGAAAAGCTTGAATTCCACGCCATCTTTTCCTTTAATATTGCCTATGCATCCCTCTCTGGACCCCAGAAGTCATACTTTAGCATCTTTTTAATTGTCTTCATTGCACTTGCTGCTGCCAGGAACTGTTGTTATTATTTATTGCCTCTTTCCAGGAGGGCAAGGTCCTTGTCTGTATATTTCCAGTGCCAAGACTTGGCACATGGCAGGCCTTCCACAATTATTTGTTGAGTGAATGAGTCAATGAATGAAGACTTTATGAAAGATGAGCCTCTTTGCTTTCTCCAACTTACAGTTGCCCCCGGGGCTAGAGATCATACTCTATAGCAAAACAATGGAATTTGTTCCCATTGATCCTACGGGTCTCTCACATGGGCCCCTGTCCATTGTGAGCCCCAATATGGACAGAACCGTGTTAAGTTCCTTCGAGATCTGAGAGCTCCAGGGCTGGGTGTGGGCCCTGGGTATATCTGGGGCTAGAAGCAGGCAGCTGTCTCCTTTCAGGTCCCCCCGCCGTGGCCTTCCCTGCCTGTGGGCATCCAGAAGAGGTTCCCTTCCCACCAGCCCCAATATTGAAGGCCCTTCCCCATGTGTTGTTCTGGTGATGACTCATGCTTCCATCGTTCACATGGTGTAAATAGGACTGGCCATTATGGGCAGATCCTCATAGAAAATATCCCTGAATTTTACCCTAGCAATTGGGAAAGAATGGGCCTCTCTGTTGGGACAATTCCTTTCTGGGTTGATAGTATCTGAAGCCACATGAGAATAGTTTCACTCCTTCAAGGAGGGTTACTGATTCCACTGGCCTCCTATTAATTCCCCAAGAAGGTCACTGTGACCATGGCCCTGTGCTTTCTTAGAAGAGAAGCAGGTTAGTGAGAAGTCCAAGAAATGAAAAGAGGGATTCTAAGATCCTGGTAGACAACTAGCCATGGCTGACCTGGACTGTGTTTTGGTTCCTTTGGATTATCTTTTTAGTCTCTTTTTAAAAACTTCTCCTCTGATTTAAGTTCTTTTGGAAAGTATCAGCCTGTCTCATCTAGAAGAACCAGGTGGTGTTAAGCCAGGGGCAGTGTCTCCCTGAGGGCCAGAAAGGGTAATGCCTGCAGGAATCTGAGTGATGAACCCCAAAGGTGAGATTCAGGACTCGGAACCGAGCTCTGAAACCAGTTCCCTCTCTCCATACAAGCATCTCCATACAGGTGTCTCTGCTCCAATCTTGGTGATTCTGTGAGCTGTTCAAGTATGGAGACTGTGCCTTTGGTCTTCTGGAGGGAAACTCACCCCAGTTACCCTCCTGCCTCTCTTTCCCCACCATTGCACTATACGATTGTCCCACAAATCTGGGTCAAGAGAGCACTGCTGCATCTCCTCCTGTAGCCTCAAATGTGATCCCCAGAGAGAAAGCAGAGCCCCATAGACTTTTGATGACTTCTTCTTTCTTAAAAGAAGCCTTCCCTGATTAACCCGGAGACTAGTTATCTCTAGATTACATCATGCTTTTAATTACTTGTTTAATGACTGCCTTCTTGGACTGCATCTTCATGGTTCCCCACCACGCTCCTGGCACCCACAATAGAGCCTGGCACAGAGTCGGTGCTCAATAAATGCTGGTTGGGTGAATGAATGGAGGGTGGAATACATGGACGGTCGCAAAAATAAATTCAAAAACTTTCTTCTTGGATACCTTTGCAAAGTATTCCCCTGGGATTACACATGTCGAAAGCTCTGTTTCTCAGTCTCCTCTGCACTTGAAATGTTGATAGAAAAGGCAACTGCAGGAATTCTGACTAATGATCCCTCTCTTTCACAGAAGGCTTCCCTGACCAACCCTCAGCTCGGTGTGTTAGGGGAACAGAGACTTTGGCTCGAGTTCTGCAATATTAAACTTAAATAGTTCTGCAAACTATTAAACTTTTGAAAAATAATGGCAGCAATCTGGAAAATGTAGAGTGCAGTGTGTGTGTGTGTGTGTGTGTGTGTGTGTGTATATACACACACACAGAGTATATTCTATTTATCTCTATCTATCTAGTTCTATCGATCCATCCATCCATCCTACGTTGTTCTCTAAAGTTGTCTGTAATCTTTTATTGATGGGCCAATGTTTCTCCATCATTTTTAATCTTCCTGAGAGCATATCCAAGGAACGGACTGGTGACCCAACAGCCAGGTGAAGGACCTCAAATAACTTGTCTGTTGGTGGGCACAGCTCAGAGATGGTAGTCACAGAGCAGAAAGAGGCCCGCACCGAGAATCAGGAAACCGGGTTTGCATCCCAGCTGGCTGACATTGGGCAAGTCACTTCCTCCCTCCAGATGCTGGTTTCCCAACAATAAAATGAGGTTGTGCCCCGATTTCCCTCCTTCTCTCGCCACCTGAGCTTGTCAGCCAGGACTTCATGTGTGCTTCCCCTGACGTCCAGATTGCTACCACCACGGCGGCAGCAGGGCTGGTCCCAAAGCCCACAGCAGGGAGACGAGAGCGGGCAGAAAGCAGTGAACCGCAGGGGGCTTTGCCGAAGTGGAGATCAAATCATGTTTTTTTTAAAGATGAGAAGTCTCACTTCAAGGACATTTGTCAAGTTTTTCAAGTTCCCTTGATGGTCTCTTAGAAGCCCTGGCACTTCCAGAAATCACTGGACTTGTGACAAGAGTTGTCTTTAGGGCTGCCTGAGGACAGCAGGGGACAGGAGGCAGGGATGGGGGACCACCTGCTGTCCTCGTCTGCTCAGATGGAAATGGGATTTCTTCCACCCAGGGGGTTTCCTTGGGCTTCTGGGGGCTCATAAACCTACTTGCTAGAAAGGTTGAGTGTGAGCTGGGAGGAGTAGCAATTTTGACAAGAAAATCAAGAGCCCCAGCCCGGCTCCTAGCTGGACCCTAAACTTGCCTCTGGTGGGAATGTGGGCCTTGAGCTCCGATATTGCTGGAGGCCCCCCTCGCCAGCTCACCTCACCCCATCACAGGCCCCCAGGAGTCCCTGAATGGTCCACAGTCCCAGCCTCTCTGACCGGCTAAACACTGGGGCCAAGGTTAAGTTCTGGGTTTAGTTTTTTTCTGTCGTGAAGCCTCAGGAGGCCCCATTTTGTAGTTTGGGTCCATGTTTTTCAAAGAGAGCCGTTTTCCTTGAAATAGTATTTCTTCTTTCTTGCTTTTTTTTTTTTTTTTTTATTGTATCTCGATGCTAGAAGAAAAATGGCACATAACAGACATCCAGGTACGAACATTTCCACAAACATCTTGCAAAACAACATCAAAGTGAGGAATACAACTGTCTATGCTTTCACGAAATGGTCTTTCTCAGAGCACTTAATTAGCTTTCCGAAGCCAACAACAAACCTAGACAAATCCCATCCACGCAGGCACGGGTCTGCCAGGCTCCAGAGCCGTCTTCTTGGTAAATCAAAGCAGGTCATTGTGGTTAATAACATTTGGACACGTATTTCAAAGCATGTGTAACAAGAGTAATTTTTTTTTTTTTTTGCATTTGGACAACAACGGAAATAAAACCCCAAAGCAAATAAACTTTGAAATGTAATGTAAAACCATGGCCCTTCAGGACCTTGCTAAAGTGACCATGTCTTTTCAGGGAGTGGGTCCAAATGTCCTTTTCAAGTAGTTTGGGGATGAAGGTGATTGGGGACACAGGGAATCAGAGCTTACAGCGTTGAGGTAGCACCCAAGCTGGTTGCCTTATGACTCCTTGAGGTGCCCTTAGACTGAAACTGTCTCAAGGCACACTCTTAGAATTTTAAAAGGGCTTAGATAATCTTCTGAACTTTGAGTTTTAAAAAATAACAAATAAAATTTTATTTTTAGCATGTTCTTTTCAAAGCTCCCAGTGCCTCCAAACCAGGCAGAATGGAGGAAACTCCCTCTAAGTCAAAGCAACCACCTACATGGATACAAGCCAAGCTCCAAGTCCAGAAGTGGAAGAGTACTGCTAGCATCCGATCATCCACTCGTTTGGCAGGAAAAATCTAGATTGGAGATGGTAGGGATTGGAAAATGTGTGAAAATGGCAGTGCAGGAAAAAAGGAAAGAAAGCAGGCATGTTCTGTCCCCACTGGATCTGCTTCGCTGACGTGCTGGGGAAAATAAGTGCTAAAAGGACTTTGATAATGTGCTAATTATGCAGCCACATTTTCAACATGCCATCTGCATAATCCCATCTCACAGAGATGCTCCAAACTACCTGAGGACATTTGGGTCCTGAAACATGGTCACTCTAGTTTCATCAGCAAATAAAACATGGATGCAACTTTGCAATTAAAAAAAAAAATGTCACCACAATAGCCGTTGAGCTTGAATGAAATGAAGGACGGAAATCTACACATCTACTTAGCTCTTGACTTCAGGTTTTAAAAATTCAGAGTTAACAAAGGAAAATCCTTCGAATTCTGATTGGTCAATATTCCTGATGACTTCCTGGTCAGGAGGTGTTAGGACTGGTGGATGGCGGGTGAAAAATCGGTCGAAGTTTTCAGCATTTCGCCCACACTATGAGAGGGGAAGAGAAGAATTTGTGGTGGGTGGGAAAAAAAAAAAACAACCAAAACAAAACAGAACAAAATAAAACTGGGTGAGGTTTTCTCCAAACCCTTCCCTTTCACTACCTCAGAGAGGTTGTTTTGATGATCAGAAATGAGAGCAACATAAAATGCAAAATTTTCACGACCGTTGATTGGCACATGATGCTGGCCTCCCAACCTTCAGTTCCTGTAGCTCGTGAGCTGCCTCTGGTATCCTTCTGGGCAGTCAGGAGCTGGATGGCAAAGGCATGGGATGGTGGGGCTGGTGGCATGTGGCATGTTCTCCCAACCCCACCCCAAGGAGTCAGCCAAGCTCATTTTGAAGATGTGATTAAGGTGCCTGAGATACCTCTTGGGCACAAGATGCAAAGTAATGACACATTTATACATCACCTTGGAGATCCCAGTGCTAAGCAGCGGGTCCCTCAAAGCGCTGTCCTCTGGCTCTCAGTCATCTCTGGAGATGTTTTCCAGCTCCACAGATACAGGAGTTTGTTACAAACTCCAGTCAGTGGAGAAAGAGATCAAGACCTGGATTTGGTGCCTGCGATGGCTGGGCGACCACTAGGCGTGATAAGTCACCGACCCTTAATTACAAGGTGCCAGGAGGTAAACTCAGCCATTCTCCCTCCAGGTGGGAACAAAGGGTGTGGGATGAAACCCAACCCAGTGCTTTGGTGAGGCAATCCGGCTCTGGAGGGAAAACCATCGCCATTTCTCACTCATCCTGCTGTCCCTGTCTATGACAAGGTCCTGGTCTGAGGCAGAGTGATAACATATGTGTGTGTATGTACATGTGTACACTCATGCGTGAGTGCACACATGTGCATACGCCAGTTCTCATCTAACGAGAAGCGATGAGTCAGTAAATCTGGCCTTCTTTGTTCTTCACCAGCAAACCCATTTACATGAAATCTCTAAGTGTTTCAGCAACCACAGGAGGCAACCACAGCCTAATAGCATAGTAGCAGCAGTAGTAATAATAATAATTATGACAGTTAATATTTATTATGCATTTGCTATGTTCCGGGCACCCTGGAATGCTCTTTCCTTGTATTATCTTATTTCATCCTCCCAATGAGCCTATGAAGTGGGTACTACTGTCATCCCTATTGTACAGATAAGGAGACTGAGGCCAAGGAGGTGATGTAATTTGTTCAGTGTCCCGCTGCTAATGAACAGGAGAGCTGCCGCGTGAGCTACGTCTGTCTGATGTCAGAGCCAATCTCCCGGCGCCATGTTGCAAGAATGGTCGTTAGCTGGTGACTGACCGCATGGAGTGGGGTAGGGGTGGGGGGCAGGGGGGAGAAGCCAAGGATGGGGATCATGAGGTCTCTGGTTTGAATGACAGAGAATATTCTTATATCAATCACCAAGACAAAGAATGCGGGAGAATTCAGAAAGATGACTATTTCCGTTTTGGACATGATGACTTTGAGGGGCCACTGAGATTCTCGGAGATGATCTGGGGTAGTCAGAAGTATGGGTTCTGGAGCTCAGGAGAGAGCTCTTGAAAATGTTTTTTTAAAGGACAGACTATGGAGGGTAGAAAAAAAGATAATAACAATAGTAATTAAAACCACTGAGCACTTTCTAGACAACTGACATTTGCTAAGTGTGTTGCATACATTAGCTTTTTAATTCACATAACCACCCTGTGAGGTAGGTATCTGATTGTCATTTGCCAAAGGGAATATTGCCCCTAACACTTAAAGCGGTAAGAAGAGAATCAGAAGAGAGCTGCAGCAGACAAGCTGAGGATGGAGAGGAATCCAGGGAGAGGGCACTGATACAGCTGAAATATCTCCAAGAGGTCAAGCAGGAAAAGTTACTGAAAACGGGCCATGGCATTTGGTAATTGGGAGGAGACTGATGAGAAAATGCAGGGCTGCCGCCGAACTTCAGTCCTTGGAAGAGGGAAGATAAGCTGAAAAGCCAAGCAGTACAAGCTCCTCTTTCAAGCTTACGATCAAGGGAAGCAGAGGTATTGGATATGTGTGCAGGAGACCGAGTTCTCAGAGAGCCTCAGCTCCTGCCCCCTTCCTATTGGGAGAGAAGGAAGCCCCCGCACCTGCAGACATGGGTTCAAATCCTGCCATCACTGACCGCTAGTTGTGCAACTCTGGCCAAGTCCCTTCAAGTCTCAGTTTCCTCTTTTGTGCCCTGGGGACAATTCTGACTTATATTTAAGCAGCATCATTGGGGCCGTGTCCAAAATAGACCGATGGGTGGACAAGGGGAAAAGGTGGAAAAAGTGAGACCAGTCAGGAGGCTGTTGCATAATCCAGGCAAGAGATGATGGTGGCCAGGAGGAAGATGACAGTGGGGGAGATGGGAAGATGCGTTTGTTTGTGGGGGGTCTACTTTGAATTTAGAGTTGACATGATTTGCTGATGGATCTCGGACATGGGGTATGAGAGGACTTGTGGTCTGAGTTACTTGGTGAGTGGGGGACACGAGGGGTAAAGCATGTTTGTTGGAAGACATGGAGCACTTGGTTTCATTCATGATAAATTGGAGAGTCCAGTGGAGGAGTCAAGGGTCAAGGAGGGAGTCCCCTTGCTGCGGTGTGGGGACTGAAAAGGAAGCAGCGCTAGACTGATGGCAGAGGCGGCGGGGAGGGTAGAAGATGGTTGCGATCATCCAGAGGAGAGAGATGGTGGATGGGGCTGTGGAAAAGAGGGTGGAGCAGAAGGGATGGAGCTGGAAAAAACAAAGAGGTATTTGTGGCAGGGATGGAGGAGTGGGAAGGCGTGTTACGAGGCAGCCCGGCGGGTGTTTCTGGGTGTTGGGACCTCAGCCAGCCAGTGCAGGATGCCTGTTAACTGAGACACAGAGAGTCTTCAGGGGCCATTTTTCTTTAAAAACCATCCATTTCCTATCCACAACAGAAGGCTGTTGTTCTGCCGGGGCCTCCCCAGGGGCTGTGATGGGAGACAGAGAAACAGCTTCTGGAAGCTCCGCAGCCTCCTCTCCCATCACTCCCCCCACTGCCTGGAGAACAATGAAATCTTTAAGTGAGATAGCAGAGAGGAGATGCAGGAACAGGGGTTAACCAAGGGGGCACAATACAGCGGGAGCGTGATTTCCTTGCTAATAAGCAGCTTACGAGGCTGGCAGATCACAGCCTCCCTAAGTGTTTCCGTGTTTTTCAAATGGAGCTGTCACTGCCCATTAGCTTCAGGAGCGCTCCCTAAATGGAGACGTCAGCCCTTGGGAGGCACGGCCCTGATCAGCTCTGCGCCCGCTGTGTCCTTGGAGAATGGGCAGCTCAGCGGCTGGGATCTAATTGCAAACGCAGCGTGGACCACACCTGCTTCTCTGGCTGTCTTGGGTGGATGCTTCAGCCTCACTCAGTGGCGAGAAGAAAATCCAACCCCCTTGTCATCACTGGGGCTCCTGGAACAGGAATGGGGGCCAAAGCCAGCTAGGTTATTTAAAATCACAGGGAACCTCTTCCCAGGTTGGAGAGGGGAGTGAGGATTGTGACTTGTTTCCTTGTGCCCCCGAATTTAAGAGACAAGACCGTTTGAAAAGCTTATCTGTGAGCCGTTACATGTGAGCTCTTCTTTTCTTTTTCTAATCTTCTTTCTAATTTCTGCTTCATTGTGCTAATAACACCTCCAAGTCTGGCTGTCTAATGTGGAGTTGGCTCGGTCACAGCAACCACAGGGATCTTTCAGAGACGCCAACCTGGATATGTCACTTCCCTGCTCTAGTCTGCGATGGCGCCCCACTGCCCGAAGCCACACTCCTCAGCATGGCTTACAGGCTGTTTAGGACTCGGCCCTGGTCACCTGGTCAACAGCCTCTTCGCTGCCCACGGTCCCGCAGCCCAACTCCTCCCACCACAACACACCCACCAGCTGTCCTGACATCCTCCCAGCTCCTAGAACCCTCATGCACTCTCACCTCCGAGCGAGCCTTAGCACAGGCTGTCTCTTCTGCCGGGAACACTTGCCTCCCACCCTGTTCCCCATCATTGTCTACGCGTCCTTCTCTGTCTCCAGACACTTCCTCCAGGAGCTTTTCCTGGACTCCTGCTCTATCTATACCCCTGGGTTTATCCCATCAAGATACAGGATGTTCATCAAAGAATTGTTAGAGGGAAAAAAAAAAATTTAAATCAACTCTCGGCCAACAGGGAAAAGAGTTAAATAAATAATGATCCATCTGTTTTATGTATTGCCATGCAAAATGCTTTTAAAAATTAAAATAAGATGTAGAAGAATATTAAATAACAGTTATATATAATTAATGACAGTGTGTACGATATGTTCCCATTCTATAAATTATAGACATAAATGTGTATGTACTACCTGCGGGCATATTACACATGTGCTTCTAGAGACTGGGAGAGTTACAGATTGTTTGATTTTTCTATCTTTTATGCTTATTGTGTTTTTGAAAATTTAAATAATAGTCAAGTAGTATTATTTTTGTGTATAATAAGGACAAAAACTACAAAAGCTCTTTTAAATGAGGGAGCTATTACAGTGGAGGAAAGGGGGAAAATAGAAATAAAGGGAATGGGAATATTTAGCCAAATTGCCGAAATCTGCCTGGCGCTGTTTAATGTACTTCATCTTAGTTAAAAACTCTAAGATCTCCCAAATGGCTGCCCTAGTGTAGATGTGGGGATGATGGCAAAGGCTAATATTTAGGTCATCTAAATGGGCATCTTCTGTCCATCGGTGTGCTGGGCACCAAAAATATGATGACACATAAGACAGACCCCATCCTTGCCATCATTGAGCTTATAGTCTAGCAGAGGGACAGGTGCACACACAGGCCATGGCACGGGGCCACGTGACCAGTGCTGCCATTGAGCATAGAGGTGAGGAACGCGAGAAGGGCCAGGGAGACTTTCCGAGGAGATGACATCTAAGTTGAGTGGGACCAGAAAGAAAGACACTCCTTCTTTGGAGGAGGGAAAGGAAGAGCCCAGGGAAGAAATGGAGGTGAAAA